CAGTACCATCGCTGGACGTCCCGCTATGTGCCAGCCAGTACTAGAACTACGATTAATCCTTTTTTATGAAAGGGGTAAGGGGGGATGGAATGGAGAGGGGAAGGGAAGGGGAGGGGAATCGGAGGAAGAAGGGAGAAGGGGGAATGGAGGAGAGAGAAAAGGGGGGAAAGGGGGAATGGAGGAGAGAGGAGAAGGGGGGGGAATGGAGGAAGGGAGAAGAACGGAAAGGGGAATGGAGGAGAGGGGGAAGGGGAATGGAGGAGAGGGAGAAGAACTGGAAGGGGGAATGGAGGTGATGGGTGAAGGTGAGGGGGTGAAGGGGGAATGGAGGAGAAGGAGGGAGGGGGAATAGAGGAGTAAGAGGGAATGGGGGAATGGAGGAGAGGAGGGGGGGAATGGAGGAGTGGGGTAAGGAGGAAAGGGGGGAATGGAGTGGGGAGGGGAAGGGGAAGGGGGAAGGAATGAGGAGAGGGAAGGAGAAGGAAGGAGGGGAAGGGGGATGGAGGAGAGGGGGGAGAGGGAATGGAGGAAAGAGGACGAGGGAGGATTGGGGAAAGATAAGGGGGGGGTAGTAGTTGCTCCACCCCCTTTCTCCAACACGCGTCGTTTTCCAAAACAAATCATTAACAACTGTCAGCTTGGCAGAAATGCCCCAATTTTTTTCTCCCCATCTCTCCCTCTTTCCCTTCCCTTTTTTCTGACCATCTACAACCCCTTTTTTTCCTGAATTTTCCAACAGATCATCAACAATATTATCATCAACATCCCTCGCCTCCCTCCTTTATTCCAAGCGTGTTCCGCTCTTTGTCTCAACCCCTTCCTCATTTTTTTTTTTTTTAATTATCTATCTATCTATTATCTTTGCATTTACTCAATCAACTGCCACTACCATCGCCATGTACCGCGGCACTCTCCCTCACCCCATAACACAACCCTCACAACCCTCTACCTCAAAGAACTAATCAGTCTCCTGTTAAAAGTCACCTTTCCCTCGCAAAAAGTCACCTGTTAAAAGTCACCTTTCCCGCGTACTTGTCCCCCCCCAAAAGAAGGCGCACTCTCGCCCTACGGAAAGCTACGGCGCACTGGTCTTCAAAAGTCACGCGCGGGTGTTTTCCTTCAGCGGCCTGTTTGGTCAATTTTTCTTTCCCTCTTCTGAAAATGCATCGCGTGAGCACTTAGAACCACTGAAGTACGCATTACAGTAATCACAAAAATAAATCATCACCTGAACAGCTATCGGGTACTTATCATCGATATCGACAAGTTTACTAAAGAGTTATTGCGTTATTGTTATAATAAGTGAGTGAGTGCGTGTGTGCATATCAAACACATATATCAAGAAACAAAATATATAAGATATTAATCAAAAGAAGAAAAAAACAAAAAACTGTTAAGAAACTTTTCGCATGAAATAATCTGTGAAAATACAGCGATGGAGTCCCAAGATAATGAATAAACAAACAAATAAATTAGTAAATAAAGAAGCAACCAAGGATATCCTTAAGGTACAAAGGATTAATGACATTAAAAAAATACAAATACTGTTTCCGTTATCCTGAGTACTGCAGCTCTTCACCGACGGGAGACTAAAAAGGGAAATAATGAACAGCGATTAAGCTTAAGGACCCGATGGTTGGGAGCAAAAAAAGTATGACAAAGATAGAACAAAAATAAACAGAGAGAAAGAGAAGTATGAAGTGGGGAGGAGGAAAAGGCAAAGGGGGAGGGGATAAGAAGAGAGAAAGGAAGAAAAAAAGGATGGAGTGTATGTATGTATACGAGTGTGTATGTGCATGTGCATATGTGTGTATGTGTAAGAGAGAGAGAGAGAGAGAGAGAGAGAGAGAGAGAGAGAGAGAGAGAGAGAGAGAGAGAGAGAGAGAGAGAGAGAGAGAGAGAGAGAGAGAGAGAGAGAAATGCTTGGTCTTATAAGCTACCTACCTTTCTCTCTCTTTCTCTTTCTCTCTCAAATACAAACAAAGCCCCCTTCCCAAGAGCAACAGAGGAGGAGGACCGGAAGACCGTCCCAGCGCGAGAAAAGCGTAAGCGAGAAAAGGTCCCAAAACGGCACGATCTCAAATCGGTTAATAAATCCATAAAAGTTCCAGGTGGCGCGGGGGTGAAATTTATCAAAGTAAAAGCTATATATTTCTCCCGCTCTGATCCCCAATAACTACAATTTGTGTTTCGGGAAAATGGATGCTACCTTCCTCTGCCGTTGTGTGAGAGGCGCATTTATCATTATTATTAGCAATATCATTATCACTTCATTATCTGATTGGCACTGGCTATGCATTAAGTCTTGTAATCATCCTTATCAAAATAACTACGATGATAAAGACGGATTCCCGGCAAAGCATCAGAATGCAAGTAATCCTCATTAAAGCTTTCAGGATCAACACATAGTTAAGCATCTTTCACAAACAAGGAAAAGGAAAAAAAGGGAAATGAGGAAGACGAAAGAAGAAAAAAAGAAAGAAAAAAAGACAAGGGAAAA